CTCTACAAGGGCTATTAGGGGGTGACATTGGCTGCTATTCAGGCTTCGAATAGAGTATGTATGGAGGATCTACACCTTTCCCTGTTTCGGGTTGACACAGACTCACACGGCCTTCGCAGCTATGTTCTCGCTTGCATGCTTGTTGGCCAGCCTGTCGTCAGCTTTGGGAGGAGTGCCCGCAAACATGGAATCCACATGGTTTAGGGTTCAGGGTTTAGGGATATGGAGGCTTCCAAAACATACAGCGGATTCTAAAGATCCTTCATGACCTTTGTAGGCAACAATGCCATAATTCCCAAGGTGTAAGGTACTTAGGGTCGTGCAGGATATGTAGTGTCCACCATAGGGGCCCGCTTTGAAAAGCGGAAGCACTTGACCACCATGCAAAGGTTGTCATCTCTCTCTAAATACACTCCTTCTTGTGTATATGGTAGTTTCCCAAAATAGGGGGACCCCAATATAGACCCCAAAATACTATAGTCCTTATTATGGGGAATGGTACCCCTAATTTTGGGAAACTCCCATATATGTGTATATGTTTTTCGTTTGGAACTTTCAGAAATTCTGCTGAAAACCATAGGCCCCACGGCTGCGAGCCAGTGAGCCAGAGTCTAAACTCCTAGTATTCCCCTTAATAGCCCCTAGAATAGTCCCCTATATAATTCCTTATATAACGCCCTTTAAGGAGTTTAGACCCTAACCCTGAATCCTAAACCCTATATGACAGACTTTTAGGAGTTTAGACTATAGCTTCGCGGTCCCCAAGACTTGCCAGGCCGACTCTCGCCGCTGGGCAAACATCGTGGCGACCGTGTTCGCCATTTCTCGGCTCCTGTAGGACGGCGTTAGAGTTGTAAGGGTTTAGGGTTTTCAGGGTTTAGGGTTAGCTGGGTGGTACTTTGAAGTAGTCGGTGCTTACGGTCGAAGATGCAGGTCCAGTCTACCGTTTCCGGTCAGAACGAATGGTCGATTCCACTGGCGACAAAGGAAGGAGCCTTTTAAGATCAGGGGCTCGTGGCCTAACCTGGAGGGGTTCTGCAGTTTGGGCGACAAAGGTGGATTCATTGTGATTGGAACCTCCCATAATGGCATCAGCAGTTCAAAAGCGCTTGTTGATTCAAAACGCTTGGGTTACATCTGCGAAGGGTGGACCATGCGCCGGAAGTCTCGGAGGATCGATAGGCGACTCTCGAGCATCTAGTCTTCCTGTTGGGAATTTCGTGCAGCTGCTTGGTCAGCTCTCGCTTCCTTCCCGCATGAGATATGGCAGAGGCAGTGGTTGTTTATGTCGAGCCAGCCTCAGGCAGCCTGCATGCCAGAAAGAAAACACATCTAAGGCAGCTGATGTATTTTGTTAGAGGCATGCGATCCCCAACGCGTGTACCTTGATTTAACTGAGAAACACACAACCCCGACCGCCCTGCTGTCTCTTGGCAGCCTCTTGGCCCGCGATTGGATGATGTGCACTGAGTCCTGCAGGCGTGAACAGGGACACTGGGCTTCAGTCGTAGTCGCCTTTATATGCCTGGAAAAAGAGTGCCCTAGCCGATGCTGTTCTCACAACCTCTCCAAGACCATTTCGTTGCCCAATGCTGGAACTTGAAGAAACCACCCCCGACCAAGGAGTGCAAAAGGGATTGAATTTTGCATCCCGGAAAGCACAGGTCCTGAAACCCACCATCAACTATCAAAATGATCCTTGCGCTTGCCGCCAACCCGATCCCCAGATTGAAGCTTCCACCCACAACCCTGAAACACCATGCAATGACCGACCTTCTACTGGGAAAAGCCCATTCTTGCACTTGGGTTGCCCCAACTGCCACAACATGGACCTTTTGAGTCTCACATGCGGCTTATACGTTAGATGGTCCTTATTAGAGGGGGTGGATTTACCAACATGCCCTTACCATGAATCACAGGTAGGTGCTACAGGACACTTTCCTTTACCAGAAACTGCAACCCGAGGGCCCCAATACCTTCATCCAAGAAGATACCTCTAAATGGTGCCATGTGCGAGAATATGATGGTTCAGAATGTTCCTGAGGTGGCCACAGGGACTCTAGGCAACCAAGCAGCCCAAAAGTAAGTACCGTGGACTATTTATGGGACGTTTAGGGCCCAACGTAATGTAAGCAATATTTTGTAGACTAAAATGCCCCTGAAATTTGGTTTGAGGGAAGCCCTTACACCCGTAAAACATGTACTTTGAGGTTCATGGGACTTAGCAGCTACTTGTAACTGGGCCGATAACCCTACTTACAACTGAAATAACCTACATACGTCCAATTCGGGATTATAAGTCGAGTTATACGCCCAGTTTTAAGTAACTAAACCCTCGCCCTTAATGATAAAATCGCTCCTTCCCCCTAACCTTCAAGAGGAACCCTGGGATGCGAACCATGTTTTCTGCAGCAGGACCCTCCGAGATGATACGCCACTGATCCTCCGAAAAGCGTTTAAGGCTTATGAACATTGTAGGTAGAGGGTTCAGGGTTTAGGATTCAAGGTTTAGGGACGTTTAGGGCCTATGAACAATGAACAGTGATGGTCCGCCTGATTTCAAGATGTTTCTCTCAAAAAAAGGTTCCCCTTACTCTTCGCCCCCCAAAACACAGGTCCCGGCCGCACATGTCCCGAAAAATGCCCATCATGATGACTAGAGGGAACTGAGTCCCCACAATTCATTACCCCCCATGTACCGGCTACATACAGTGTAGGGGCTGACATGCGCTTTTTGTTGGGGCTTTGGCAGGAGGGGCCTGCCCAACGAGTAGCAGCGTTTGAAAAGTAATATTTGAGCAAGATTAAAATGAATATTATAGTAATGTTATACTAATACTATAGTAATATTATAGTAATACTACGATCGTAATATCATAGTCATGTTATAATAATACTATAGTTATAATATGTTTGGGGAGATCCTGTGGATTCGGGTTTGGCTGCCAGAGGTTTTTTACGATTCGCGGTGTGCTTAGAAAATTCTACCCATCCGCACTAAACCCTGGACCCTGAAACCCTGAAGCCTTTAAAACCCTTACACCCTAAACCGTTGGCCATGGAAGATGTAGCATGATTCCGGATGTCCACGAATGTAAGAGTGTCTGGGGGCTTTCCACGGTACCAAAACGTTCCTGAGGCGACGAACACGCGGAAGAACTCATGACAGGTTTGCTGGTTTCTTGTTGCTCTACAAGTAGAAAAAGTCTTTCTGCGTACGTTCTTAATAGAACTCATTATAAAAGCCGTATCCAACCATGATGCATTTTTTAGTAGTAAAACCGTCTCCTCACAAAGACCAGCCAGTTCCGACCTGCAGATGCCCCCTACCAGCCCTGGCTAGGTTGCCCCAAGTATGAGTAGTGCTTCAACCTCAAACTTAGCTAGTAAGTGCGCCCCGTGAAACTCAAAGCACTTCGACATTTTCCTGTACGACTTTCCAATCCATGTTCAGCCAACACTGTGTCGACCCCTGATCTCGCGCAAACAAACATTGCAAAGGCGCAGGCTGTCAAATTACACAAAGGGCGGGATGGGGCTTGAAGCCCATGCAGTACTACAGCCATAGCTGTCATTACTGCAGGGTTATGAAGAAGTACATGTTGCCGGCCCCATTCTTTAACACTACTAATGTTAGGCGGCCCCCCAGCAGGGGCACCCTACATTTTTGGACCCCGCCCTATCACCAAGGCTTGGATGTTCTATCTTCCGGCTTTGCATCCTGAAGACGCTTGACAGAACCAGCTGCAGAATGAGGAATCTGCCAAAAACAAACGCACAGAAAGAAGCTTAGCTTCTCCATTCTCAACCTGAAACACCATCCACCCTATGTATCCCTGTATAATCCTCATATGGGACTTATCCCAAAAACACCCATGCTGGCATCCAGGGCCCACGCAGCAGGGCCAAACATGTCCAACTGCTTGATTCCCTCCTGTGCACAAGCCAAAAAAAGAAACCTCAAGGATGTAAAGGCATTGCCCTGCAGACAACATACACCCCTAACACTTTCAATGATTCGTTCCATCTATCGGGGGGTTTCCAAAAATTTGGGGTACCTTCTTGAGGGTCCCAATAATAAGGATTATAGCATATTGGGGTCTATATTGGGGTCCCCCTATCCATGAAAGCTACCATATAGTATTAGTATAATATGTGGGGACAACATAAGCAGGTTTACCTTCTGAGGCTCCAGAACTGTGAGACGGCACTCAGAGGATCCCGCCTCACCAAGGTAGTCTTTGTTTGCTCGGCACCAATCTTTGACCTGCCATCTGGGAAACTACTCTAATCCCTGTCTAGTCCCCATGCAAGTGTAATATCTTCTCATATTCCCTACTATAACCCAAGTATATACCCTATTATAACGTAGTCGTCTACATTTTCTTTTCCATTATCCTTATATAATCCTCTTAAACCCTAAACCAATATGGAAAACAGTGGCTAGGTAGTTGGATACGAGGTCTAGATCCTTCTAATCTAGAGGTTTCCTACACTTAGGGGTACCATTTTGAAGATTCCTATATTCAGGAGTATGGTATTTTGGGATCTATATTCGAATTCCCCCAACTTTGGGAAACCACCATCTAACTTGCTTGCACTCCACAGACCTGGCCCAATCACCCAAGGGTTTAGGGTTTAGGGTTTAGGGTTTACTCAACCCTAAACCGCTTTTTGACAAGCTCGGTATGGCAAGGCCCTGCAGCTCTCGCCAGAACCAAACAGGACTCACTGGGTTGATGTGCGATTTCGCAGCTGGAGAGGTTGCTGTTAAGGAACTTAATTTAAGTTATTATATTGGGGGAACCCTATTATTTACTATATATACCCATTATGGTAACTTAATTTAAGTTCCTTAACAGCAGCCCAGAACAGTGAGACAGCTGGACAATACCTCCAGGCCGGAAACCCAATCAGCTTCCGTGCTTGATGGCTGGACATGTGGCCTTAAAAAGGTATTAGCTACCTCTTATCCAACTTCCCTGCCTTTCGCAGGGGCACTATGCGGCTCTGACGCCCAGATCCGTCAGAACCAATCCTATTTGTGCATCAGCAGGACGTGGAAGCTTGCAAGCTTCCGCAAGAAGCTCGGGGTCATTCTTGGTAAAGACCTCATAGCGTACAGCATGATGCTTCAGCAGTAAGGGGGCCAAGGGATCAACGGGCACGCCACCACTACCAGTTACCAGCTACCACCGCCGCCGCTGTTATGGCGGTTGTTGTCGTTGCACGAACGACAAACCCAAAAAACCGCATGAATACATGTCGCTTGTATCACAGGTGTTTTGCGGGTGACTTCGCAGGAACCCGCCTACAGGCGGGATTGCAGCATATGCTCTCTTCCCCCCTGTACTGACTGTTGCTGTTGTAGCTGGATGAATGCCTAGCGCTATCCCGAAGATCCGCCTGCAACCAAGAACTTCCATGACCCTCAGAGCTCGAAAACCCTAAACCCCAAACGTATATATTCCCATTTCCCCTACTACAACCCAAATATATACCCTATTCTAAAGTAGTAGTTGCCATTTTCTGCCAATTATCCCAACTAAACCCTGACCCCTCCTGGAACCTTGGGAAACGCCACAGGCCCCTAAACCCTAAACCCCAAACCCTATATTTGCAGCTGTGCTGCCAAGCCCAGGACGCTCAGTCCAATCCCGCCCACCAGTAGGAGCCTCGTCTGAGGCTTGGGGGTTAGGGTTTAGGGTTGAGGGTTTAGGATTTAGGGTTTAGGATTTAGTGTTTAGGGTTTGAGGCTTACGGCTCAGGATTTCGGGTGGGCTCTGACTGGTTTGGGCCTACTGAGTGATTTAGGGGCCTACAGAATTTGAATAGGAGGTTGGGTTCTCCTCCCAAAAATGTACAAAAGGGTTTTCAGGGAACAATATGGATAGTTCTTTAGGCTTCTATACTGGGATTTAGGACTTCACGGCTTATTAAAGGGTGGAGACAAAGAATTTCAACAGTGCTTTGAGGGAGGAATCCAAGTGTAATCATGTAGAAGTATGGAAGACAAGTCGCGATCGTTTAGGCTCCTGCATTACAAAGCTGGGGTTCAGGGTTTAGGGTCTAAAGTCTTAGTTTCCGCCTTAATGACCCCCATAATACTCCCCGGTACCATCACCTTTAAGGAGTTGAGACTATAGCTCATGCAGGAAAATGAATTGTGCGCAGATCCCAATGCTCATGCCCGCAAGCTGCACGCCCCAAATTAAATTAAACCCGACATCCCCATACCTACGGTCCCCTTAAAATGGATAGAATTTATGGCATATGGAAATCTTATTATGGTTTTTGGGGAAGTCCACATTCTATCTACCTAAGGGGGGTTCTAAGCGTAAACACCTAAACGAAAGCCATGTGCGTCGGCGTCATCCACCCTTTCAACCGCATCTCAGGGGCCACATGGCGGACCTCCATGCCATCGAGCGTCCTGGGTGATGTCAAGCATATACACAAAGTTCCCTAAACGCAAAACACAAATCCTAAACCCCATATCCAAAGTTCCCTAAACCAAAACCCGTTGAGATGGGAGTTTCTATCAGTGGTAGTCCCTGAAGGGACTCCTATACTCTTCTTGTATACCTCACATACTCTTTGCATTGCCGACTTTTCAGGAACTCCCTTAAAGGGCTACGCAGGGGCATTATGTATGGAATTCAGCGCGACCAAGCATCCTCCTTGCAGCGTTGAAGTAGTGTAGACTAAGCCCCCTCCTTTCAAGTGCCTGAAAAATAGGACCCCTGGTATCGTGGATCCCTGTTAGAGTCCCTCTTGAAAAGGGGGCTCATTAATCAGGAGTCTACCCTATCTGAGGTTCATAGCATGGGAGTTAGAACCCCTTTTGCCTATACTATGGCCTGAGCATGCCCTTTAAGCCCCTGAAGCCTTTGATTGACTCAGGAGTCAAGATGCATGCGTTTGGGGCTTTGAGGCTGAAGCCTTTTTGACCCTACAGCTCAACCCCCTAAACCCTAAACCCCATCAACCCTCAACCCACCATCAACCCCAAACCCTAAACCCACTCTGAGTTGTCAGCGTTTACAGCCCGAGTTTGCGATGAAGGTCTGTATGAAAGAGCAAACCAAGGTTTTCAAGTCATCTCAGGGGCTCAGGGTTTAGGGTTTTAGGGGCTTAGGAGTTTAGGGGTTTAGGGTTTAGGGTTTAGGGGTTTAGGGTACTGGCCACCCAGAAACAGGGTAACATTAAGGTCTATTTACTATCCAGCTGTACCGAGTAAGGGGCAGTAGCCAAACTATATGAGCTATAGTCTAAACTCCTTTATCCCACTTAATAACCCCTATAGTACTCCCCTAGATAATCCCTTCTATACCCCCCCCAAAGGCGTAGACTTTTGTACGTATGGGTCTGTTTGAAATGGGGGAACCTTTGGGACCCCAGGGATGCACCGTGGATTCCATAAGAAAGCTCCCACAGAACTTGGGTCCTGCCGCTGAGGCTTAGGGTTTAGGGCCATTAACAGTCTATAATAGGGGTCATAGTGAGGGCTTTGTTTTAACTATATTGTTAATATTATCCAACTGGTAATGAGTGGGGACAGTACCCAACATATAAGAATTGCAGGCGGATCATGCCAGGGAACCAGATGTCTACATGGCATGCTTTGGGCTTTTGGGTAAGTATGGTTTGGGTCAGAGTTGTAGCTTGGGGACCAAGAGCCGAGCCCTCTATAGTCCCCGTTAAGTAGATCGAGTATGGCCCTGGGTATATTATAATAAGACCCACCCCCCATATACCCCATATTCTATCTACTTAAGGTGGACTATTATAGATCAATGTTGTCGTTTTTTCTTTCGGACTTTTGGTTGAAGAATACTATACAAGACTTGGGAAGTATCCAACAGATTTAGGAGAACATGGATACCTGCAACACATACACCTTTCTCGATTGTTTCCAATCTCTGTATGAAAAATGACCAGACAGCTTGGCATCTAGATGATATTGGAAACTTAGGAGTTAAAGGCGTTGAGAACACTAGTAGGAAGACAGCGAATGCCAAGAATACCAGACATGTTGAGAACACGGTAATATTGGAAGTGGATATTCGTCCTCTTGGCAAAATGTGGGGAATGCGACGTCAGAATATATGCTTGCGCATCTAGGGAATAGGGGGAACACTAGTCATTCTACAAAAACGTATCAGGACCATGACGCATGGCAGGTATGCAAATGGCGATATTATCCTGGATACCACGTACGTGAAGTGCGCAAGGAACACATGAAAGTATTAAACGTATATGTAGTTATAGACTGAATCTGGTGTATAGTGGTAGCATCGGGGATCAGTAGGACAATACAAGATTTGGGGTTGTCCGGGGCTGGTGTTAAGTCGAGAGCTATCAAATTCAGAATAGCTTTCGTTTTAGGCCGACTCACTGCAGTAAACGGAGAGATTCGGGTGCCCGGGCACTTCGTAGTAAAGGGTTTCTAACGAGAACTACCAGTTAAGCAATCACAATCCACCCACGCTAAGTCGTGCACGAGCCAAATTCAAGGTCATCCTGGTCTCATCCCATCCAGCATCAATGGCACTTCTTCTGCGCAGCCCTGGTCTAAGTGCTTCTAGGTGACGGTCCACCAGTAGCAGCCCCACCAGTCCAGGTGCCAAGGCTGTGAAAACACCGACACACAAGGCCCCATCCAGCACGTTCACAAGTCCTCAGTGAGTGAGCAGGCTAGGTTGATCACCAAATGAGGACTCCATGAGTCTCTTCTGCCCATTCTCTTATCTCAACAGGCGAATGATTGATCGTTCAGCTTGGTGTTTGGATTCCGGCTCGTTGCATCACGAAGCTGTGAGTATTTCATTTTAGCGCTTGTCGCTTGAATGCTCCTACCCCGTGAGGCCGGCACAGCTGTTGTAAAGAACCGCCTTTCAGGCTTCATCCTTGTATTTGAGTCTGAGTCTCCAAGGTAGCTTGGACTCAGATTAGAACTACGCCTCCATTCATAGCTTGCATCAAAAATCAAAAGGGCAGACTACTTTGGACCCACTTCGTCAGAATCTGCTAGGGCCTCCCTAAAGAACCCAATACAACATGGGAGTTTCTCAAGACTATCCGATACAGAGCTCATAGTAGGATCCCCCGTAATCCCTACCTGCTGTTTCTATGGTTATCAAGGGCCCCACTTTTTGAGAAATCCAGGAAGAATCGCGGCGGATCCAACTCACAAAAACATCTTTTGTCTTCGCAATGCCTTGATTTATCAATCAAACGCTATCCAAGCTACGCCCTCATAAGCTTTACATCATGTCCAAATAGTCCCAATATTCTGCAATAAGGCCTCCGTTTGTATGGGCCCATGGACTGGGCAAGGGGGGTCATAGCAGCCGTAGCCCCAAACTTAAAGCCTTTTTCTTTTCGTGATGTTAGTTGCACCCCAGCAGCCTAGACTGCGAACCTCTAGCGCCACAAAGAACGAGGCCACCACGAAGAAAAGGATCAAAGCAGCAACCTCGAAGTAATAGTCATAGTACTTGCCATTTGTAATTCTAGTAGCAGCAAGAGTTTCAGTAGTAAAGGTTATGGCCTGCAGTGACAATAGTAATAATGGAAATAGGAGTAGTACTAATACTAGTAATAGTAACCGGCACGGGCATCGGCTTCCTTGGTCCCTACTACTTCCATGGGAAAGGGCAAGCAAAGACCCTCTATGTACTTCGGAGCTTGTATTCGTTGTGTAACAAGGTATACAGGATCCCTAATGACAGTTTTGGGGTTACTGTTTTCAGGCGATTTTATCAGGTTGGGTAGGGTTAATACGTGGATTGTGGTGCTTTTGGTTAAAGACTGCATACGAGAAATTGTGAAAATGTCTCAGGTTCGTACCTGTGATAGCACAAGAATGGTTAGACGGATTTCATAGTGATGAACAAGATTTGTCGAATCCGAATGCCGAAAAACCATAGCACCGCACAGAAAGCAAGGAAGCACAATCTGCCTCTACAGACCACCCGCCAGGAAAGGACCGCCCTACATGAGGAGGACTGATAGGAAATTTGACCTAGTGTCAGCTAATGTGCTGAGGGACGCATGCAGCGATTGCTGGAGAGGGTGCTGAAGCCCTGCTCCCATGGGAAGTGTGTATCAGCAACATGACGCAGTGTATCCTGAACAAAGAAATCGTACCACGAAGGACAAGTCGGGGATCCTACAGCCTACAGCAGGGTAAACTCCACAAACCTCCAGGCCCCAAACAGAAGCCATTTGCAAAAACCTCCGTTTTCAGAACCGAACCATTTCCTGATTAGGGCCTACATGATGCGCTTGGCCAGGGATGTTGAGTTTCTATGATCCAATCAGAAGGCTTCATGCGGACAAGGACAAACAATGAATCAAAGGTTCAGAGCTCGGCCGGGATTGCCGAAAACGATGCGCAGAGCAGCACTCTTTCAGTCGGTTCATGGCCAGCAGGCAAAATGAGCTTGGAGCCCTTATGAGGCTTCAGCATAACCGGGAATGCCATCACCTTCTATCCATCTGCCTATGCACCTCTTTAGTACCCGGCATAGTCCTCCTGAGATCTGCAAACCCAAGCCCAAACCCCTCAACCATGAAGGGGTGCGACGGGCTAGCTTTGAACCTTTTTCAGAACGCTTATCCAATGCTAGGGCAAGCCGTTCTTCGAGGATGCCCCTGCTCTGGGATGGTTTTCAATTAGTCCCTGTTGTTTCCCACATTAGAAATTGGGGGGTAGGGTTTCGGACTTTCTGCAGGTAGTCCCGTTGCTACTCGAAACCCAACAACCCCATTTGTTGTCCATGATTGCCACGCCTCCCTCTGTCCCTAAGCGCCCCTAAAACACTTAAACCCTCATCTTAAAACCCTGTATATCCCTTCAACTCCTACAGAGCCCCCTAAGCCCTAAGAAGCTCAGTATACCCCTTTTTAAGGCACATAAGGGGCAGCCCCATTTTGAGGACCACTCCCCCTCCCCACGCTCAGTTCCTGGCTGAAAGAAACTTCCGCCGCACTGCCTGGGCCTTGATGACAGGTCTGTCTCCAAAGGTTCTATGGGCCATAATAGTTTCCAACCGCGCATCCCGACACAGAATGCAAAATGCTATAATCCTGAATCTAGGGACCTGGAAAAGGGGATCCCTGAGTTTGGAAAAGCAGCATATAGGGTTTAGGGTTTAGAGTCTAGGGTTCATGGTTAGGATTCTATGCAGTGGGCTTAGAAAGGCAGAAAAGTTTTTTTGGTCACTTGCATGGCCGCGCAAGCATTTAGGGTCTAGGGTTTAGGGTTGTAGTAGCAGGGGCCTGAACGACTGGAATAGGGGAGAACCAAATGGAAAACGAAATGGAAACTGGGGTTCTCAGGGTTGGTGTGTGGAGTGTATGTAGGGGCCTACCCAGACCCCTGGGAGGATATAGAAAGTAGTACATCCGCTATGGTACCCTATACTACTATGGGTACTTTCTAGGAACTCTTAATGGGGATCTACTTTCTAGATCCTCCCAGGCGTCTGGGTAGATACAAACAATTATAATATGGTTTTGGGGAAAACTATACAACATGTGTACTCAGGTCATAAGGCGGTTAAGGTTGCTAAGTATCAAGGTTCTCACTAAAAGAAGGCCTTACGGGTATAGGGATTGCTGGTTCCTTCTTGAGATAATGTCAAGAGACTACCACAAGACGATCTGCATTGGGTTTTGAACATCACGACTGCAAAATCTTTTCAACAAACACCCAGATTTACCACATGGGGTTGAAGGGTATCACAACTCTTCACATCATATAGGCTAGATGTTGACACGGGCCATGGATGGGTCTATAGGATGGCAAGAGATAACAGGCGGCTACAGTGGTCATTTTCCGGGTGCAGCGTGCTGCCAATGTCAGCCCTTGGAGGAAAAAAGCGGTTCACTCCTCGCGTCGAAAACCGAAAGGGGCTGATTGGCGAGGAGTGAAAGCTCCTCTACTTCTTTGTGAAAGCTGGGCCCCCCGAAGCCTAAAACCTTTGTTCTGAAGACCCCGCAAATTCCAGACCTGATTAGGCGGGACCTTCCTCGGTCCAGCACGAAATTCGCACTTTAGCATGCTAGGCTTCTCACCCTCCTTTGAACATGCATGAGTGGCAAGTCCCAAGCACCAATAGACATGCAAAAGTGCTAATCCCTCCATCCCCACCTCCCAAATAACAAATATGCTCCCAAGACTCCTTAAAGGGGGATTACATAGGGGAATACTGTAAGGGTTATTGGTACTATCGGGGTGTGAGGGGGGGGGGTCCTTATTAGGGCAAGGCCACTCTTGCAAAATTCGCACTTCCAAGGCCTTGGTAGGTATGTTACGAAACGCTTGCGTTATCTTTCATAATAGCTATAGGGGAACATACATAATAATCTGGCTATAACTTGAGTGTTGAACATTCTGCCTGAAAAGCTTAGCAGCACCCCAAACTTTCCTCTGGTTTGCGAAAGAGGAAGGACTGGACAAGAACATGGAAACTAACCTATTATGTAACCCCCCTTTAAGGAGTTAGGCTATGGCTCACCTGGGACTACGAGGACTACGAGAATGATCCCTGCTCAGCAGAGGTAAGCAAAGGCCCTGAGGTACGCCCGATAGGTGACCTATTGACCTATCCAGACCCCTGGCAGGCTCTAGGGTTAAGGGCTAGTTTAGAAAGTAGAACCCCCATTGTGGTACCCTGTGCTACTACTGGGTAGTTTCTGGGATCTCTTAAGGGGGATTTACTTTCTAGATTCTAGATCCTCGCAGAATTCTGGGCATTGCCCTTGAGCTACCTGCCGCCAAAAGGCTGGAGCACCGAATTGCTCCAGTGGCAGGTTCTTGACGGGGGCAATCCTATCGCTTCAGTTCGCGACTTTGGCAGAGACATCAACTGCTGCATAGGTGTATAGTCCGGGCACAGAACGGAACACATATGGTGGATGGTTCTGCTAAGCTTTCTGGTTGTTAGCAAGGAATGGAGCAGGCCAGATTCGTAGAGTAATTCCATTTTGTCCATTACTTCCTTCCCTACAACAACCACCAAGAGTTTTGGCTCAAGGCGGATTGGTTGATACTCATGACTTTTTAGGTTGAGGGCCTGCATGAATGGGGCCATGCAGACTGTTCAAACACACTGCTCCCTGAATGAGTCAGAGAGCTGCGGATTTTCCAGTGACTTGGATTGGATTTTGACATTCAGGGGCGAATCCTCCAAGAGCCTGGGGCGTGAGCTGCAACCTTCTTCTGGGAAAGGGACATTCTCAAAGCAACTGCGCGCCTGTTTGGAGGCCGTTTCTCCGCTTTAAAGCTAGACAAGACGACCCAGGTTTGGGGAAATGTTCATCGCTTGCTGGGCGTTCGGCGCTACGGTCTCTTTGAGAGAACATCCCTGCAAGGGCAACAAGGACACGTTATCTCTGGTTGACTCCATCTGAAAGTTTCCAAAGGTGGGGTCCCCGCTATGCATCCTCAACATATTATGTTACCTATTGCAAGGACCCACCCTAACCCTAAACTGTTCCGAAGCCCAAGCCCCCTTCTTGCCAGCAAGGCTCATAGCAATCATCATGATTGGATAAACGGCTGCCATGGTAAGAATCATCCCAGCCTGTGCCACCTGAGGTGGTGAGAGCGCTCCATGGGTGGTATACGAGAAATCCCCAGCTTGGGGGCACCTTTGACAGGGTGTTTTGGAGCTGATAGGGGTATTTAGGGTTCAGGGTTTCCCCAAATCAGGCGTACCTTCTTGGGGATCCCCAGAATAGGGACTATGATACCTTGGAACATTACCATACAGGGCCATCTAGGAATCATGGAGCTGTTACCCCAATTATCGAGAATCAAATGGAGAACCAAATGGAACATGGCATGGCAACTGGTTTCATGTAGGTTCATATTTTCGTGAAACCCCAAGATCTACTGCTCATTTGTGGGGATACCTAAAAGCAGCATCTAGAACCCTTCTAGCTTTCCAATGCTTGAACAACATCGCTACTTGAGAAATGTAGCCAAGCGCAGAAAGGACTGTGGGAGTTTGCCTTTCTTATCTCCAGCAATAGCTGGAATCCTACCCAGACGTCCGGATACGTAGCTGTGTCAACCCTAAACCCTAAACTCCAAACCCTAAACCCCTAAACCCAAAACTCTAAACCCTAAACTCAAGGTTTTTTCAGGTTTTAGGATCTAGGGTTCTGCCAAGTTGCATTCATTGCGGTTGTCCGCGGCAAGGAGGACAGCAGGTTTGACTCTACCTGAGTTCCAATACATCCCTACAACCCCTTCAAGGGGACCTAAGGGGGGTTTAGGGTTTAGGGTTCCAATACATCCCTACAACCCCTTCAATGACCTACAATAATTTAAATTTCCTTTTCCTTCCCTATATCCATCCCATTAACCTTAATCTACATGTCCTTACACATGTATATATCCCCAATTGCCATGCCATCTTCTACTTTCTTTTCCATTATCCCTACATAAGGCATCACTAGGCCTTGCATTAAACATGTAGACTGCAACCCCTCTACTGGGAATGAAAGCAAGATCTCAAAGGAAGCCCCTTTAACAGACCAATTCTCCCATTCAAAGCCTGAACTCAGGGGCCACGCTTTTTCAATATGTGCTGTTTCAGTGCGCAGTGTTCGTCACTCCTGCAGTCAATCTTCTTTCTGCCAGGTCACAGATGGTCCGAAGGCGTAGTAGCCAGCCATAGCAAGGATGATAAAGATCAGTGTCAAGACGGAGAAGGCGATAGTCAGCAGCCTCTCGGGTTAAATGCCAAAAGCCCGGTGGGACCCGCTGGTGATTCTCTGCGCCCCTGTGAATGCAGCAAATGAACAAAGGTGCGGGCTGGCTGGATACCAGCATGGCTTTTTCGCAGCAGGATGTGGGCCCTGTGTCTTGTTGGTGAAGCTACTTGTTGGGTCATACCAGCAGCGTGTGTTTGGTAGACTTTGCCTGTCGGCCGTCTGAGACAAGCAGTGCAAACAGAATTTGGTGTGCTAGGAACCCGGACCTGCCAAACCTTCGCGGATTTCGGTTCTCCAGCTCTTTGTACATCGGCAGCACGCACATCCTTCCACCGCAGAGACAGGAGGCGACAACGTCTACCCCAGTAAAATGACAGATCACTATGCAGCCGAAGTGACACTTACTTTCAGATCTCGAATTGTAGAATGCATTCTACTACCAATCCGAATCACGCAAGCTAGTAGCTAGTATTGAGCCCGTGAAGCTGTACTTAAACTTTCTAGTTGTGGTGCTATCGTACAAGACCACGTTCATGGATGCAGTACGTATGGCATATACGGCGTTTCGCTCTCTGAGGACACCTTGCTGCAGCAGTGGCACTGGATGATGACACTCTGCATCATTGTGCTGACCATTGTCACGGACCCCTGCAACAGATGCTCTTGAATAAGAGCAGTCATAACACGTTAGCAACAGAATTGTTCCATGTTCGTGATATTCAGAACAGGGTTTGTCGGAGACGCATATTATAAGCAAGGATTGTAAGCGAGTACTTGCAATGTGTGAGCATGCGAACTAGAAAATTCTACGCCCAATACCGGCAACGATTTTATCCTGGCAGTAGGATCCGTTCATGCTAGTCACCTCCGCAGACCACCGATCCAAACCGCACTGCAGTTACCGCCACTCAGTCGCCGTGCCTGGACGTTCGGGTGCAGATTATGACCGAAGTCAATTTGCACTCCGAATCAAGGATCCAAGCTGTGCCATTTTGCTAGACATGAACATAGACGCACATGTCCGCCCATACGAATGAATACACACATGCATACATGTACACAGGCACACATGCACACACCTACATCAATATAAACTCATATATCAAGAGATTCGGTTGCCATGCTGCTGGCCCTGCCTTGGACAGGCCCAGGCTACAGACGCCAGATGGGAGCTCATCGCGGGTGGCCTTCTTGCCGTACTCGAAGCAAACCAAGCCCAGCAAGTACCTGCACAACATGCCGGGCGACGATGACGACGGCGACGACAAGGAGGAGGAGGAGGAGGAGGCAAGGAGGAGGAGGAGGAGGAAGAGAAGGAGGAGGAGGAGGAGATTCCCTTGTTCCCTCCCTACTAACCACCGGTAAGAAACCCAGTGTGGCTAGTTCAGCTCCGTCGTCCTTCCAACCAATCTCTGAGCTTGTGCCGTCAAGGTCACCTAGAAAGTAAAAGAGGAAACAACAACTCCCAAAGGAAACCCAGTGTGGCGGGGATGAAGCTCCTTCAGACAAGCCGCATGTTGACCAGGATGGCTGCACCAGACCTCGGAAAAGACTAATATATTATAGTATACTATAGTATATTATAGTATATTATCGTGTATTATAGTATATTGAAGTATATTGTAATCCATTATAGTATCTTATAGTGGGGTTTAAGGCTCAGAGTTTTCCCAACTACGTTATAAGGTTTAGGGTGAGAGTTATCGAGCTGTCCGGTCTCCGTAACTTGGAGAAGGACAAGTCGGTGAAACCCACTGAACCCTAAACCTGAAGAACCCTTGGAGAGGTAGGCTCTAGTGTGGGAGCTCCTCTCTTCGGTAGTTTTCCAAGTTGGGGGGGCCCGGGGACCCCAAGGGACACCCAAAGTGGTACCCCTGATTTCTGGAACCCCCCCGTGGTCTTGCGTAGTCTCGAGCAATGAGGAATACAAGGTTTTCAGATGAACTTTGGCTTTGGGTCTTGAACAGGGCCCCTAGGGACCCTATAGGGAGGTATGTGCAAAGACTTATGGGTCCCCGTAGAGGATATTGTAGGGACAGCTCTGAAAAATTCAGATATGTGCTGGCAGCAGACAGAAACTTACCAATATACGCCTTGCGCAGACCAGGACCTAGATTAGTGGCCACTCCTCACAGTCAGCATGCAATGAACAATTAGCCTTCAGGGTTCCATGTGCGCCATAGTCTAAACTCCTAGTATCCCCCTTATTAACCCCTGTAATAGTCTCCTATATATAATCCCCTCTACAAGCCCCGTGAAGGAGTTTAGACTACAGCTCATGTCAGCCTGGGCAATACTTCGCCCTTACCCTTGTATCCAGCCCCCCAAGGATGACTGTAACTTGGAGGGTCGGGGGGACTCAGTAAGTAGATTAGTAACCCCTATAACCCATATAGTTACCCTACTCATCCCATCTAGTAACCTACTTACTAAGTCCCCCTGACCCTCCTAGTAGGGTTTAGGGTTTGGAAGTGCTACAACAAGCTCTTGGCAACTCCATTGTCCACACCAGATGACTCCTGATGGATGTCAAGAAGGGCCCCTTACTCCGGGTTGCTGAATTAGGCGTGCCATTTCGGGGGTCTTAAGGTCTGTATGATAAGGATTATATATATTGGGGTTTGAAATTGGGTCCCCCAAAACACCAATATACTATAGTAGTTTCCATTAAATTTTCCATTATCCTTATATAACCCCAATATACTATAGTAGTTTCCATTGCATGTTCCACTATCCCTATATAGTAGCCCCAAATCCCTAAACCCTAACAAACCCTAAACCCTAAACCCTAGCTTGGGAAACTACCATTTCTACCCCACGGGCTGGAGGCCAGCCTGGGCCGCCGGGGGTTAGCCCAAAATCTCAAACCTTCTCTCTGGGGATTGCATAGGGGTACTGGAAAAGAAAATGGAAACTACTATAGTATACAGGGGTTATATGGGGATAAAAGAAAATTTAAAGGACACTACTATAATGGTGTTATTTAGGGTTTAGGGTTTGGGGGTTACTGGGTTGCTGTTGAAAAACTTAAATTAACTTGCCATACTATTGGCATATAGTAATTATAGGGTTTCCTTGTTATAGCAATTTACATTAAATTCCTTGACAGCGCAGTTTTAGGGCTTGGGGTCTCATGAGGTCGTTGAGCACAGCAGCAACGTTCCAAAGCATGTTCCAGAACCTGGAGTTGTAACTCCTAATCCCACCCTCAACCCTAAATCACAACTTTCTATAGAAGCTTAGTTTCCATTGCGTTTTGCATGGGCTTTTCGATTTGGTTCTCCATGTTACCCGGTCAAAAAGCCCTACAGTAGACCCCAAACCCGAAGCCCCAAACTTACTGGGGGCTAATTAGTAGGGAATATATAGAGGCAATGTAGGAATAGAGGAGAGGAAAATGGAAAGTAGTACATCATCATAGGGGATGTGTCGAGCTTAGTAGGGAGTATATTCTATATGGATCATTTAGGGATTCTATTCCCATATTCCCTACTAACCGCGAATGATCTACTCCCCAGGCCCCTAAACCGTTTCAAGCGAGGCGCGAAAAGGACAAGTACTTCTGATCAAGGAAGCAGAGGCCCAGCACTAAAACTGAGGCCAACCCGGCAAGGGCCCAACCTCGGTCTTCGGTTAAGGTCCCTTTAAAGGGATATATAGCGTCATATTAGGGCTATATTAAGGTTCTATAGGGATAATGGAAAAGAAAATGGAAACTACATGAAACTACTATAGTGGGTTTGGGGTTTAGGGTTGAGGGTTTGGGGTTGAGGGTTTAGGGTTGAGAATTTGGGGCTGAGTGGTCATGTAACAAGTAGGCTTTTGTTGCCACTCCTCTTCTGACTGCAGAGCAGTGGGAACGTGCAGGGGTAAGGGTAAAGAATTTAGGGGTCATGTAAGGGTATATGGGGATATTGCCCGGAGAACCGAATGCAATGGAAACAAGAATGTAACCCTAAACCCTACAACCCCAGACCCTAAACCCTAAAGAAATGGAAGCAGGCTGAGTCTTGGAGGTTAGGGGCAATTTGCTTAGGCCTGCAGCTGAACTTGAGGTTATTTGAGCTATAGTCTAAACTCCTAGTATCCCCTTTACTTACCCTTATAGTAGTCCCCTATATATACCCATTTAAGGAGTTTCTATTATGGCCCGTATGGATACGGAGGGATGAATTTGAGGAGCTTTCGTTTGTACCCTGGGGTTTGGATCACGAAGCCACGGAACATAGCCGTCAACTTAGGCATTTGTGAACCAAAGCCGCAGGTTAAGACGCATTAAGGGTACAAGCTTAAAGCCTTTGATTCCGGGTCTCGGATTTAGGGTGCCGGCGAGAGCTCAGGACCGAAGATTTGGGATTCAGGAGTTACAGCGTTCAGGATTTCAGGGCTGGCCATAGTTTCCTGCAATACTCAGCATGTAGGTGGAACGATGGTCCTCTAAAGTTTTTGCTTTGGGGCTATGGACCTCGCAGACTTGCCCTCCCCCAAACTAATGTGCAAACACATCTAGACCCCTTCTTGAGGAAGAACTGGCGCACCATATAGAAAGCTAACCTGCTACAAACAGCCCCAAACTGGATCAAGTGCTGGCGATTTCGCAGCCAAGGATTTTGGGGATGCCCATGGGCTTGTGACTTTGCAGCGCTGCGGCTGAACATGTACTACCAACCCAGAACAGCTTGCTGGTCACCGGCTCCCGAGCTCTCAGCCCCAAAAAATCACATGGAAGCACCTCTTAGAGGCTCCACAGAGACTGGTGCTAACTCTACGGCTTCAAAGCTGCTAGAATGTCCTAAATAGTAGAGCAGCGAAATGGGAAAAACCAGCCGAGGGAACATCCCCAGATAGGATGCATGTTTACCCCCGTATGCCTCAGAACTTTGGGCTCAGCCCGGGTGCGTTGCTCTAGGATGGTCCCGACGATGAAGGGCTGTGCTGAGTCGCAGATGCTGATGATGTAGCCTGGGGTGAGGGTGTAGGTCTTTGAAAATCTGCGAATGCCCAAATCTACATGTAGGAGCTTGGGGTTAAGATCCCTAAGCTTCCTAGAACTTCTTCAATATTTGCACCACCAAAAAGTCGGCAGATTTTTACATCGCCAAGTCCCGCAGCTGACTACTGAGCCGAAGGGGACCACCCACACCTAAACCCTGAACCGAAAAAACTGTCCAGGAGCTGACTAGTGAGCCAAAGAGGACCACCCACACCATGAGGTTGGTAAAGATCCTCGGTAGGTGCTCACAGGGCTGGATCTTTTAGGGATTAGGGCTTAGGGTCACGGGATTCTGCGTTTAGATGGTGAGCGTTTCAACACGCGGCGCTTTCGTTGGCAATGCTATGGCACACCAGTCAAGAATCATAGTAATAATAACCATAATCGTAATAATAACAACTGATGGCAATGATCATGTTAGTATTATGAACAACAATAATAGTCACAATAACAATAATGATAATACTAGTAATCGTAATGATGACAACCACACAACTACTCGTAGTAACAGCAATACTAGCAATAATTGTCTAATAATAATCACAGCAATCATAACAAGAGTATAGTACCCCGTAAGTAGATAGAACATGGGGTGTATGCGCATCTTTTTATAATATACCCAAAGACATATTCCATCTACTTAAGGGGGACTATAATAGTAACAATAGTAGGAATTGAAATGGCTTGACGTACCGAAAGCGGTCCCAAGCCTCGGGACGTGGTCTAGGATTTGGGTTTAGGACAGTGAGGGTCCACGTACCTAATAATCACATACTTACCCAAAACCTGCACTATAATTCCTATAACCCAAAGCCCAAGTAGCTAATTAAAGCATACTTGGACCCTAAGCCCCATAAATGCCTATATACTCCTACATATCCCCTTCAAGGAACCTAATTATTGGATACTTGGACCCTCTGGGGGATTTATGAATCAAAGGATTTAGCCGCGGCAGTGCTCGCGGCAGCCATGTACTGCGTATAGCTTTACTCATATGAGCTATAATCTAAACTCTTTAAGGGGGGCTGTACTATCGGGGTTATTAAGGAGGATACTAGGAGTTTAGACCATAGTCATATGAGTACTTCTATTTGTGGCAGACCAAGCACGGTGAGGGGAGCAATTTACGCCGCAATGCAGCGCAAAAGACTAGAATGAGCCGATAGAATGTTGAAAGAGGCTCTCCCCTTCTGAGAAGACCTTCGGCAACCCCTAACCCTGTCGGCTCCAAATTTCCTGAACCTGGACACCTACATCCCACCAAAGCCAAAAACCCTTAATTCCCAGGCTCTACCCTGTAAAGCCCTGAGGCCTGAACCCTCAAATCCTAAAACCCCAGCCCATACTCATGAAACAACAAAGAAATAGCAGTCATGACAGTAATACTGGAAATATTAATGCGGATAAGCACGAACAGTAAGAATATGTCAGAATAAGTAGTACCTGGACCCCCAAAAGTAGGTAAAATAATGCCTTTTGGGCTATTATTAGGGGTTTAGGGCTATTTTTTTACATACTCTTGGGGTTTAGGTAGAACCCTAACCTCTGACAAAAACGAAAAGTGCTAGAGGTTCAGGGTCCCAGGGCAGGCGCCTGCTGACTTATTCTGCTAACCTCCGCGTGGACACGGGTTTAGGGTTTAGGGAGCCATATGCCTTGAAGGGACCTGATTCCCAGTCACTACACTCCTGAACCCCAAATCCTAAACCCTAAGGGCTCAAAGTACCACACCCTAAACCATTATGCGACCCTCAACCCAAGCCCAGAGTCTACCCGGAGGAGCCCCTAAACCTGCAACCCTGAACCCTAATCCATAAACCCTGCACCCTAATCGCTAAACCCGAAACTCTAAGCCTTAAATCCTGAGCCAATCCTAGCCCAGCCTCAACCAGGACGAGGAGGAGGAAGACAAGAAGGAGAGCGTGCCCTAGTCTGGAAATGGTTGGCGCACACACTGCAGGGTTCAGGATTTAGTGCTTCGACGGCTTGAGGCTGAGGATTGAGGATTTGTGATTTGGGGGTTTCCAAGAGAAGGGTTTCCCTTTTAGGAGCCACTAGTGAAGATTGCATGAAGTTTAGGCTTTGGCATTTATGGGCTTGACGGTTTCAGAGTCAGGGCCTAGGATTCAGGGTTTACGAGTTAGGGCTTCGGGCCCAGGATTTAAGATTCATAGGGCGCAGCTTAAGATTGAAGGCTTTTGGTTCAAGGTTTACGCGGACGCAAGGGATTTCTTAGTTGCTTATAAGTGGGGCTATGACCTTACTTGTATAACTGGGTAAACCATATGAGGCCAGTTATGAGAATTGTAAATTGCGTTTCAGCCCTTCATAAGCCCAGTCTAAAAACAGGCAGCAGCTAAACCCTTCATCGAAAACCGCTCAGATACACCCCTAAGCCTCAAACCGACTCAAACCTTTAACCCTAAACCTTAAACCAACAAAGCACGCGTGCGTGCTGCCTGCTTCGGGGGTCCCAGCGTCCGATTTCTCGGCTAGGGTTTTAAGGTTTGAGGGTTTGAGGTCTATAGGTCCTCTATACATTGTTATAACGTTGCCATTTCGTATGGAAGCCCGTGTGGGATTCGTGTGGAGACTACCCGCCTGAAAACTAACGGGAAATTTCTTAAAGCCTCCTGGGCACTGCCTTTTTACTACGTAGAAGAGGCAGACGTCTCACTTTTGGGGCCTAGAGGCTACGCTGCATGTTATTGACAGATAAACCTCGAGCCATCACTCCAAACCCTGACTCCTGAACGCGACGCCTGAAACCTCTAGCACTACACCCTAAACTTATTGGTGCCTAATAGGGAATGAGGGAATACAGCCCATATGCCATCCCTCTAGTATATTCGCCTATTCCCTACTACGAACCAGAAAGTAAACTGTGAAATCTGAATAAGCCCTGTATCCTGAAGCTGTCTCCTTTCAACCCCACACCCTAAGCCATATCTCGAGCCCAGAGCCGTAAACTCCAAACCTGAAGCCCCCTACCCTAGCCTCAACCTCAGAACTCTATTAACGCCATAGTTATAAAGCCCCCAGCCCAGGGATATCAAAAAAACCAAAGGAGAGCCCGAACAAAGGCTATGCCTAGCCGACCGCAAGGCCAGACTTTGCCGCGAAAAGGCAAACGCCACTGCCACCGACGTAGTCACGCCTATTCTAGGCCAGTACGCCTAGGCCGCCGTACCGCTCATAGACTTTAAGGCTTTAAGGCCCGCGGTAGATATTCTCTGATCGAAGGGCCTCCACGCAGACCCCAAGCCAAGCCTTCCCAAAGTAAACTTCAGCCTTGAGCCAGACCCAAACCCAAACCTTGACTTTCTTGGTCACGCCCTGCTACCCAATTTGGTCCCTTAAACCCGCAGAGGTCGATGTGAGGGTAGGGCGCCAGCAGGGGTGGGCTCATGCGCTTTGGTGTGCGCGCCTGGATGCCTTCAGCGCCAGCACACCCGATGAAGGAGACACCCTGAACCCTTACCCTCAAACCTGAACCCTGAATAACCCTTGAACCCTTAACCCTGTAAACCCTATAAGCCCCATAGACCCTGTAAACCCTATAAACCCCATAAACACCCAAAACCCTTTAAACCCCATAAGCCTCATAAACCCTGTAAACGCTATAAGCCCTATGAACCCTAACCCTAAGCCTTAAACTCTTGAACCTATAAACCATAACCCCAGATCCTGAAAAGCAAGGCTCCAGAGCCAGCCAATGCCATGGGTGCAAGCGCCGGCGTGGCAGCTGGGCTAACTTCTTCTGGGGGCTAAAGTGATGAGATGGATTAGGGGTGCGGGATTAGGGTTTACAGGGGTTTAGGGTTTAGAGTTTAGGGTTTGGGTGTAAGTCCGTCAATATTCCAGGCCTAAAAGTTCTTCAGGCTGCTTGGGGCCCTGGAGTTCTGCTGTGAGCTACTGTTAATGTTAGGTTTGTCAAGAGACCATCAAGGGTTAGGGTTTGGAGGTTAATGTAAGGAACCATCAAAGATGTACATGAGGGTCGTTCAGGTGGTTTAGTAAAGTCCCTAATATACTGCTCCTGATAGGAACCATTGCCCTGTAAGTATATGGAAATATTGATTGTAGCACATATCTCAAGAACGGCAGTTGCGAAGAATGGAATCGAGTCGGTCATAGGGTTGAGGCAGAAGAGCTTGAACCAGGTGGTGAAGGCTAATTGTCCGTAGGGCTCCAGTTACCTAAATAATGGGAACTGGGTTCTATATACCCTATAGTTACATAGCCCAGTAACCTACTATTTAGGTAACTGGGAGCCCTAGGCTGTTGTATTTGCTAGGATCTGGGGGTCCTCGGGTGGCGCAGGGCAGCCGTCCGTCAACTCTAACAGGCTCATCACCGACGACATGCGCTTGTTTTGTTTCGGGGTGAAGATGTAAAAGACTTTCTGGGCAGCTTCGCAGGCGTGAATTAGCAGACTCCTTTGTTATGGATCGATCCAGAGGTTAAGCGCTTAGCACTGCTTGCACGTTTCCGAAAATTCGGCTTCTTGTACAAGGCCCTCATAAGCCCTCAAATACTCGCATTGCATCTACCATGTGTCCTTATGAGGCTGGACTTATGCTCTTCCTACAAAGTGCCATACTCATAGGGGGAAACCTCTTAGACCCAGACCCTAAGTTCCCCAAAAAAGCTCAACGCTCTCGAAATCCTTTAAATTCTTGCCAGACCTCAACCCTGCCAGCTGAACCCTAGACCTTAAGCTCTAAATCATCAATTGCACGCAGCTGGTCTCACAAAACTCTTGAGTTCATATCTGGACCGCAGAGTATCTAAAGTAGAGTAGCAACCTAAACACCCGTAACACAAGTCCAAAACTATATTTCTACGTAATGTAGACCCCTGACTAATGAATCCCCATCCCCTTAATCTCCCCTTCCCTTAATAGGGATTCTTATGGGGATCCTAGTATTGAGGCCCTTAAACAAGGGGGTTTATTAATCACGGGTCTGCATTCGTGAGGGCCATTCAGGGAGAGCTGGAAGTTGCAAGGAATTCCGACTGCTAGGACTCGACTTTAGCTTGAGGGGGCCTGAGGGGTTGGCCAATTTCACGGACTAGGTCCTTCCGGCCTTTAAGTGGGTCTGTAGAGTATACCGCCGAGGCATAGGCCTGGTATCAGACAAGTGGTTTCTTTGAGGTAAGGGCTGTCTCTATGTTTTGTTTAGGGGTTGTTTCGAGAGGTCAAAGCTCCAACAGGATTGCCTCAAGACCA